TCCTTGAGTCTTTAAAATAGGTCTAGAATATTTATAATAAACGTTCAGTTTGTTTAGATTATTCATGGTTTCAAAAGGAATTGCTTAATAGTTCATACTGAATATTGAATTTAAAGTGACTTTCTTCGGGTTCTAATTAACCTTGTTTTACGAAAGTAACACACGAAACTAAAAAAAATCAAGCCAAGCGTCCACTAATTGAAAAATTAATGGACGGTGGGGAATAACATTGGGAGTTAAATTGTAACGTCACGATTGACTTATAATGTCTCTTATTGTGTTGTTCCTATTTTAGTCCAATGGGTGGTTAGCTTGGTGACCGTAGTTGTACCAAGAGAAGGTTGAACCATGCCATGAATTGCTTTTTCTGGTTACTCTATTGTTCCCGTAGCAGTTCCGGTTATAGATAATAATGTAGATAATATCAATATGGTGTACCGCAAACATTAGTATATTATGATTATTATTATTATTATTATTATTATCATTATTATTATAATTATTATTATATTATTATTGTTATTATTTATTATTATTATTATTATTATTTCTATTAAAATATTAATAACATCACCTATTATATGCATTTTTACATTTATAACAATATTTATTATAGAAAAAATAGTATCAACGTTGTTATAATAACATTTATTATAGAAAAAATGGGTGGGTCCACCAAACCCATAGTCTTTAACTAAGGGAGATTTTAATTGTATTGGTCTTTAATTGGAGGGATATTTAATTTGAGTGAGACCTGTAATCAGTCAGTGACTGACTTCTGTAACATAACCTGATTGGTTATGGTACCACCCTTCATTAATTCTATTGGGCATTAATCCTTAATTCTGATTGGGCATTATTCGTTAATTCTGATTTGACACTCCTTGCTTAAAATCTGTTCGATACATAGCCTAACAGAAGTAACAAACAGACCAAACTCCAGACTGGGTTCCAGTCCCCAAACTTTGTCTTAATCTGTGAAAATGCTTAAGAATAAATCGATTTTGGTACAAATGGCGTTCCATACTATTTATTTGCATGGCGTTCCATAATATACTTTTCTGGGATAAAAGTTTCTCATAGAGCTATTATTCTTATTATATCTCTATGAAGTTTCTCGACATAAACTGACGCTGGTGGCGCTTTCCGAAATGTGCTTATTTATACTACGACAATAGAGAGACTTGTTGGAAGACTAACCAAACTGAAGACCAGTTAATGTTTTTTATGAGACAAGAAGACGAACAAGCAGTAAACATTCTTGCATAATATTCCAGTACAGTATATTATGTATCAGTGGCGTGTCCAATGGGTTTGAAGTTTATGAGGCTCTAGTAGGCAAAATATAAAGGTAATGTGTGTGTATTTTTGTTGTCAAGAAATTTGAGTGGGTGAAATGCTGGGGCGTGAGACCCTCACGTATCCTGATGCCACTCACTGACCAGTAAGTAAGGGAAATTAAAATAACATATTGGGCCAGAATTTATGCTTTCAGGATGTCATGGTCGTTTTGGGTGTATATTACTCCCCGGTAGAACACTAGCAGCTGCAAAACAGTAAAGGAAAATTTATTTTTGGTTTTTCTGAATCCGTATAGGCTAGGCCTCATGTCTGTCTGTACAACAGTATACTTACGTGTCTAGGCCTAAAAAGAAATCCCCATTCCTACGGCTTGGAATTTTATTTTTTATAACCCTGGAAATTTTCATTAAAAAATGTTATGGGGAAATAAATTTGTGTTTTTAATATCGTAAGTAAAATTATGGATATTACTATAGTTAAATGGCTAAATATTTATTCACTTTCGTTCAAAATTTGATAGGAATGATGACGTCAACACGACAAATTCCTAGATGGCTTTCATTTCCATTTCATTGTTATAAAAGTACAAATGCAGTCTTCAAACAATGTTATAAGCCGACACACAACAATAACATAAAGCATCGGCCTATATAGGCCTACTCTAGGCCTACTATCTTCTTGTCACCAATCGAATGTAGTAAGAGGAGTAACAAAGTTATTTGCCTTTACGTAAGCAATAATAATAATAAATATTTATATAGCACCAATTCAAAAAAATTGTCAAAACAAAGGCACTAGGTGAGTTAACATTCCAGTAATAGGTGAGTTTTAAGATTTTTTTTTTAAAAAGAAAGTAAATTATACAAATCGCGAACAAAAAGCGGCAAGGAATTCCATATGAAGGAGGTCTTGAAAAGAAAAAGCACCATAAGTTTTTGATTTGCAATGACATATTTACGAGTTTGGTAGATAGCTATTTTCGTTCCATTTGGGTTTATTGTGGTAATTCATTAATTATAAATGTTACTTTCTGTATGTATAATATTGTTTTTGGAAATTACATTTGTACTCTTATTATAACAGTAAAATTATTTTCACATTAAAAAATAGACCTACTTTTTCCGCCACAATGGACGCCATCTTTGAATTTTTCCTGATGACGTCAATTGAATACATAACTATTTAGCCATGTTTTGTTACATTTAGTATATATTTGAAAGTGACTAAAACAATTATTTCCCCAATTAAAATCTTAATTGGTCCAAATTAGGGTATTTTGGGCCATCATTATTAGGCCTATATATTTTAATTATTTTTTTTTTATTAGGGCCTATTTATTTCTTCCATAGAATAATTATATAAATACATATCAAACTATACTGAATACAAACATTGAAATTGAATGCGAAGAATAAATGAATTGAAACAAGGAGAATGTACGGATTGCTGTGGATGAGGAGGCGTGCATACTGTCAAGGAACGGACTGTCCAACTGTTTAATTTAAATGTTTTAGGTGCGAATTTTTTATTGTTACTGTAGCTTACAAGTATTAAATTTTTTCTCCAATTTAAGACCACTTTTGGGACCGTGGTTTCGGTGGTCTTTAACAGCTTTGGTTTCTAATTGGAATCCCAATAATTAAAGAATGGCACTTCCATTGGGTTTATAGTGGTAATTCATTAATTATATAGGATGTACTTTATTCCTCTATGTATAATATTGTTTTGAGATTACATTTGTACTTATTTATAACAATAAAATTATATTTACATAAAGAAATACGCCTGCTTTTTCTGCCACAATGGACGTCATCTTTGAATTTGTCATGATGATGTCATCATTTCTATCCAATACATAACTATTTAGCCATGTTGTGTTACGTTTAATATGTAAACGTGACTAAGACATTTATTCGCCCAATTATAATCTTAATTAGTCCAAAATAGGGTATATTGGCCCAATAAAAAGAACTGCCCAAGGCCTGCGGATTGAGATTATATTTTTCAAAGACACAGGGTACAGTATGCTGATTCAGCATAAATAATACATTTCCTTTATTTTTTCCCACTGAACTTTATTTCAGCAGTTTTACAAGCAGGCTATAATGGTTAAAAAACACAGCACATATTTGGGTGTCCCGAAAGCTCAGACCACGAAAGCTAAGACCTAAGACCACGAGATTTCAGACCCACTCGAAATATCAGACCCCGCAAATTAAGACCCCCAACTAAGTATGCCAGGATTTCTAGACAATACCTTTATTCGAAAGCTAACGTCAATATTAAAAAGAACTGACTAATCATAAAATAAACACCAGTAAGTATCATCGATACCAGCTAGGCCCCTTTTGCGGCGTTTACTGGAGAAAACCGGCTATCCGCACTCCACGGAGCCGTACGGTATGGTTTCAGTATGTTTTCGATAGCGGTTTCTAATGCACGTCTATTGTGCGAATACTGTATCTGATATTATAGTTCACGATCGTTCTCACTCTTTATATTTTTAGGATAGTTTGTTCTTCTTTTTACATTCAGCTACATTTCTTTACTTGCTTCTTTTTTGTTTTATATTCGGTTTCAAAATATTATATAAAAAGATAAAATTACTAAAAGCATAGCACATGAAACCAGGACCAGTGGCGGATCCAGCGACGGGGGTGGGGGCATGAGGGCCTGTTTCCCCCCCCCCCCCCACACACACACACATAATACAGTCAAGCCGAAAATTTTGAGTTAAAGAGAGGAAAAATTGTACCCATAGTTCAATGGCGATCCAGCAGTGGAATGAAAGGATAGCTCGATTATTTTCAACTTTACACCAACCCTGGTGGGGCTAAGGTGGGCGTGGCGGTGAGAACCTCATATTGCCATATGGAGTTATTATTAAAATAATTATAACTCCATGGCTGGCATCGATAATACTTACTGGTGTTTATTTCATGATTAGTCAGTTCTATATATTGATGTTAGCTTTCGAATAAAGGTATTATTGTCTGGAAACCCTGGCATACTTAGTTGAGGGTCTTAATTTGCAGGGTCTGATATTTCGAGTGGGTTTGATATCTTGTGGTCTTAGGTCTTAGCTTTCGTGGTCTGAGCTTTCGGGACACCGCACATATTTCCCGATTAGCAACTCGGGTGTTACATCATAACAAAAATGATTCCCGGTGAAAAGAATTTAATATATTATTTTCTTGCTTTCAGGACTCATCTCACAGATTAAATTAAATGTGTGAAAATATTAGCTACAGTATGTCAGAACAAAAAGTCAATTTGCATGAGGCACTGAATCATGGAATTAAAGTTGAACCAGGTTAGTTATATTTTCAGCATAAACAATGGACAAGATGAAAATGTTTTATGCTCAGAATTCTTTTAGGGACATTTTTAATATGCGAGCAACATTGTTTTTTATCTTCTAGGCCAATGCTGTGTTTTTGATAACCATGAAGAAAGTTTTTTAAATTGTTTGCCAACAATTCCATCAATGTTAAAACCTGCGAGGTCACAAAAAGAAATTGAAAATAATGATAAATTTATGAAATATGAAGATAACTGCAGAAATATATTCAGTGTAGAACAACATCAATTTGATAGTTTAAAGGAACACTTAAAAATAAACAATGAACATTTGGAATATAAATGTGAACATTTTAGAGAAACCCATTTAGGAATAAAAATAGAGGAAGCGCAATGTCGATATTGTGCAAAGGAATTTGATGGCAGATGTAACTTAGAAAAACATTTGAGAATACAAACAGGGAAGATGTCCAATGAATGTTGGAATTTGAACACACACTCATGGAAACTTACAGAAAGGACAGCATATGAATGTGAACATTGTGAAATGAAGATCAACCAAGGCAAGATTTTGAAGATACAATTAACAAAACATAAAGGACTAGTAGCATATGAATGTGAACAATGTGGACAAACATTTACGCACCATAACAGTTTGAAAACACACTTAAGGACACATACTGGAGAGAAGCCATATGAATGTGAATATTGTGGTAAAAGATTTAATGAAAATAGCAATTTGAAAACACATTTAAGGATACACACTGGAGAAAGACCATTTGAATGTGAATATTGTGGAAAGAGATTTAATGGAAATGGCAATTTGAAATCGCATTTAAGGATACATACAGGACAAAGACCGTATGATTGCGGACATTGTGGGGAGAAGTTTATTAACAGTAGAACTTTCAAAGGACATTTAAGGATACACACAGGAGAAAGGCCATTTGAATGTGATCATTGTGGAAAGAAATTTAGACTTAACAACACTTTTAGACAACATTTAAAGATGCACACAGGTGAAAAACCTCATGCCTGTGAACATTGTGGAAAGAAATTTTTTCTAAGGGGCACTTTGAAAGATCACTTAAGGATACACACAGGAGAGAGACCATTTGAATGTGAATGTTGTGGAAAGAGATTTAATAACAATAGCAATTTGAAATCACATTTTAGGATACATACAGGAGAAAGACCGTATGATTGCGGACATTGTGGTGAGAAGTTTATCACCAGTAGCACTTTGAAAGCACATATAAGGATACACACAGGAGAAAGGCCATATGAATGTGAACATTGTGGAAAGAAATTTAGACTTAACAGCACTTTTAAACAACATTTACAGATGCACACAGGTGAAAAACCTCATGCATGTGAACATTGTGGAAAGAAATTTTTTCAAAGGGGCGTTTTGAAAGATCACTTAAGGATACACACAGGAGAGAGACCATTTGAATGTGAACATTGTGGGAAGAAATTTGCAAACAGGAACACTTTGAAAATACACTTAATGACACATACTGAAGAGAAGCCATATGAATGTGAATATTGTCGAAAACGATTTAAACACACTGGCAGCTTTAATGCGCATTTAAGGATACACACAGGAGAAAGACCATTTGAATGTAAAAAATGTGGAAAGAAATTTTCACTCAAGAACACTTTGAGAAAACACTTAATGACACATACTGGAGAGAAGCCATTTGAATGTGAATATTGTGGAAAGAGATTTACTCAACAAAGCGGTTGGAAATCGCATTTATGGACACATACAAACGAGAAACCATATATATGTGAACATTGTGGAGAGAAGTATATTACAAGTTTCAATTTGAAAGAACATTTAAGGATACACACTGGAGAAAGACCATTTGAATGTGATCAATGTGGAAAGAAATTTAGAATTAAAAACAGTTTAAGACAACATTTAAAGATACACACAGGTGAGAAACCACATTCATGTGAACATTGTGGAAAGAAGTTTATTCGAAAGGACGATTTGAAAATTCATTTAAGGATTCACACAGGAGAGAAACCATTTGAATGTGAACATTGTGGAAAGAAATTTTCAGACAGGAGTAGTATGAGACAACATGTAACCAGACATACAGACGTTTCTAGTGAATGTAAACAGTGTGGAAAGACATTTATACAAAAACAGTCTTACTTAAGGCATATGAAGGTACATGCAGGTGACTTACCATATGAATGTAAACATTGTGGAAAGAAGTTTCTTTACAATAGCCGTTTGAAAGTACATTTAAGAGTCCACACAGGTGAGACTCCATATGAATGTAAACCATGTGGACAGAGATTTAAATACAATCTCGGCTTGAAAAGACATTTTGAATTGTGGCACACATAAACACTAGCAATTTCCTGTATCTGAAACTGGGTTGTACCCCCTTCTTGAAAGAAAGTAGACTCAGTTTGATTTTGGTTGTACATGTATAACCATAGAAAACATGATTAATTTTGTTGTATGAGAAACCAATGTTGGAAGAGACTTCATATTGAAGAGAGTAGAAAGGAATAATAATATTCAAAGTAAAATTACCTAGTCATATATAAAATACATGTACGTGCTGAGCATGATTATTGTTGTTGGAAGTGACTTCGGTTGTCTACTCCACAAAATATGCTGAATAATGATGTTAAGAGAAACCTACCTGTATATTGAAAAAAAGATAGAAAGTAATAATAAACAATATGTAGAATGCCCTGTAGTCAAATACTACATCTGACATGTACCAGCTCACCGTGGAAATTGTGGATGTGACACCATATTAAGTTAAGGTACAGTTGTAAATTGGATGTACAATTGAATAACACTTGTACTGTATATATTATGATCTAATGATCATCTAATAATCTGCTGGTTTTGAGATGTGCTAAAACTATATTTTGGTAGTATTAATTTGGTTTGTATTTCCATACCATGTTTTTAAAATCTCTTCTTTTTAGTAAAATTCACACCTGTCTACACATGTTCTTTCTTTATTAATAATCATTGGGTTCATTAAAATGGGATTTTTAATGAGTAAGTAAATGAAAGATAAAGGTAAAATTTAATACACAAGATATTCCTTTATGAATGATAATGGTACAATTATTTCTCCCATGTGAAATGTAATACAATGCACAACTGTCAATTTTGAAGGAGTTACATGTTCAGGAATGTTAAGTGTTTTACATGTTTTCAATATTTGTTATTTTTTAAAATTTGATTCCTTCATATATATTTCACTGTTATTTTGTTATAATCCACACTAATTAAATACATTGTTGAAATAAAAAGGTATTTTGAAATGTGTTAATTTTTCTTAATTTGCTACTTAAGTTGTGTTTAAATCGGCCGACGTTTATTCGAGGAGCCAAGCGATCATGTCATACTCCAATTAAAACAACTGGGTCTTCAGAAGAAGCAAAAACAATACCTCTCAGCCAACCACTCAGCTGTTATTGTTATTGTTGTATTTGTCGTCGTTTCCACCAAGCTCAATAATTAAATAATATTTCCTAATAATTTTATCCTGCTAATGCGTAAAAATATATTAAAAAGTTACAGAATACGATCATTAAAATTAAATAGAAAGAATAAATGCTGCATTGAACCATTTTCTCTATGATTGAACCAAGGAAGGAGAATATACGGGTTACTGATGGATAAGAGGCGTGCAGACATATGAAGGAACGGAGTTCTAGACACCTATCCAATTGTTTCTGGATCTGGATCCTGCTAACCGTTAGCTGCTGTGCGTTCATACGAGAAGATCCCGATCCGGATACCAAGAATATGATGATCGAATAACTGGCCAATAATAAACTAGAAATTGTAAACGCGTACGTGTGATTGGTTGATGATGGAAACGCACTCAACTTGCTAACCGATAGCGTTTGCTAACCGTTAGCGTTATCCGGATACCGCTAAAGCTGGTTTTCCACTGGGCGAATTTATTCGCGCGAATCAAAGCGTCCGTTCGCTTCCTGAGTTCTGATTGGTTGCGCATTTTTACGCAAGCAAAAACTCCGATAGAAACGTGCATGTGCATGAGCCGCTGCTTTCCATTCGCGCGAATAAATTCGCCAAGTGAAAAACAGGCTTTACGGTTAGCGCTAACCGATCAGGCATTCTCACACAGGTGCTAACGGTAACCAACGTCTGTTGACAACAGAGGGCGCCACCTGGCGTCGAGATGACACCACTAGTGTGTGGTACAGCAAAGAGACTCTTTGGGTACAGTACAGTACTCTATGGGCGTATTCGACTGGTTCGATTCGCTGAGTATTACAGTATTTTCATTCGCCTGCTGGTTTGTAAAATAGACTTGGTTGACGAAGAAAATTAACGTAAACCAGAGTGTGTTAATCAACGTTAAAGTTATTCTCGTGACCAAAACAAACATGGCCGATTGGTGAGTTTAGAGCCAACATTTGCTTTAATATAATGTAGATTAAATTTCAGAAAATAAAATTTATAATATTTACCCACATGAAGTCAAAATTTAGGTTAACAGAATTCAAAAACTGGATTAATTTTTTTTTTTTTTTACACGAAAAATCTATACTGCTACAAGAAGCAATCTTGATTACACAGGGTGTATCGCAATATTCTATGCAGCCATTTTGTTTTTTCGAGTATTTAAGTTTTCTATTCGACTGGCGTCTTCGTTTATTAAAGCATGGAATCATGATTTAAGGATTGCACCAAACCTGCGCAGGTAGGTGGGCGTGGTTTAAAGAAGAACGACCAGCCGAATACTATGGAACGCCGTTAGTATCTTCGGTTATGTGCAAACACTCCATTATGTGCAATCGCCATGACGTTATGTGGAATGGTCATGACGTTATGTGGAATGGTCATTATGTCATGTGGTTTGGTCATGGTGTTATGTGGTTTGGTGATTATGTTATGCAGTTTGGTCATGATGTTCCGGGTTTGCTCATTATGTTATGTGGTTTGCACATTATGTTATGTAGTTTCGACATGACGTTCGGACGTCCTTGCGGAGTATGTGAAGAAGAATGAATAAGAAAACGGCTGTACAAGTAAGCCTATATCAAGTTTCATTTGAAAATTTTGATTGGCTAATCGATTTTATATAGCCGGAGTTAGTTTAGAACTAGGCAAACCTTGCTAAAAAGGTACACTTTCTCCATCAAAAGGCATTTTTTATGAATGGAATGACCCAAGCACGAACTCCTGTAGACCAAACCTGGTACTGTTACGATTTTTAATCGTGCCGGAAATCCACTCACTATTTCTTTTCCTTTTTTCTCTGTAAAGAGGCCTGAAGAACGAGATAAAATTAAGTACTTTATAAGTAATTGAGTTTCGAAGCACGAACTCCTGTAGACCAAACCCGGTACTGTTACGATTTTTAATCGTGCAGGAAATCCACTCACTATGTCTTTTTTCTTTTTTCTCTATATAGAGGCCTGAAGAATGAGATAAAATTAAGTACTTTCTAAGTAATTGAGTTTATACTGATTTTGCTATTGTTGTACATCTTATACGGTTGTGCATCTGTTATTTAAGAGAAGCAATAAAGTTACTTACTTACTGATCTTTTCCAGAGGAGAAAAACCTTGAATTTTGAAGAATTTAAAGGTCATTAAAAAAAAAAAAAAAAGCTCATTTTCGGTCTAGAAATCAAAATTTTTCATTTTGAATCACCCTCTTTCAAATCCTGGATCCGCCCCTGATTATTTTGTGGTGGTAATCCCTCATCACAGATAGTGCCTGGTCACTAACAGTTGGATGGATGATTTTGTTTTCTCATTTAATCATGTAAATCCGGCATTTTAAGCTATATCAAGATGGATGTTTTTATCATCATTACTTAACTCTCATTTGCTTGTGAAAGTATTTGAAGTTCGTGTGGAAAATACTAAATAAAGTACAATATTTTGAAATACTTTGGTGCTTCCGATTTTTTTTTTTTTTTTTTTTTTTTTTTTTTCTACTTTTTTTTATATTATTTTTTTTTACTACTGTTTTATACATTAATTTGTTTGACTGAAGAGAAAACGTTATATTTACATACCAGACTGAGGAAGGGCTGGAGAACATAGTCATAGTCAAAGCAAACACATCATTAACTACGGTATATGTTCTCATTTAATAAGAATTACATATGCCGAATACCAATGCATGGATGGATGAATGTTTATAATGATTAGTCGGCTTCTAGTATAGGAAGACCTATTAAATATTATTTTTCTTATAAACTACCAGGCTTTTTCTTTTATCAACATTCAAAATACTAGTGTGATTTAAAGTACTGTAAACTTTCTAAAAACCCACAAAATATATAGCATATTTTCCAATAATGTTATTCTTATAAAATCTTGCCTTTATATTTCGTTTAAAAACGGATATAATAATTATATGCACTCTTTTCCAAATACAGGTCTTAATTACTGTTGTTATATGCTGCCATCACTCATGCATCCACAACAGACGCTAGGGCGTTTTCCCCATACAGCGGATCGGGCGTCACGCTGACTCGCGTGTATTAAGAATAGCAGTGGGCTCTATTCTGCTATATACTCTTTGCTTGTATCATGGACCTATTAATATAATAGGTCCATGCTTGTATGAAATAAATCTCTGGCGCGGTGGTAATAAAACTAGTGTGAGGTCTTCCCGCTCGCTCTCGGCCAATCAAAAGTTTCAAATGAAACTTGTAATACTATTCATTATTATTATTATCTTTCGGATTTTTTTTTTTTTTTTTTTTTTTTTTTTTTTTTTTTTTTTAAGGGAACGAATGATAATTATTGGGTAATTTTTTTTTTTTTGGTCTGTTTTCGGGATTGGAAAGGGACGGGAGGGGTAATTAAAACTTCGATTTCGGGATTGGAAAAGGAAAGGGAGGGGTAATTAAGACTTTGATTTTTACTTTTTGTTAAGCTCATTTACTTTTACTTTTGATTTGTCATGTTTTGATTTTGTTTGTTTTCTTATGTTTTTCTTGGACGCACCTTTTTGTACGTGTGCCACTGTTGTAAAAGTGTAGCTTCCAAATAAAGAATATAGGCTGACTTACAGCTGTCTTCTTATTCACACTTCTTCACATACTCGCAAGGATGTCCGAACGTCATGTCGAAACTACATAACATACATAATGTGCAAACCACATAACATAATGAGCAAACCACATAACATCATGACCAAACCACATAACATAATGAGAAACCACATAGCATCATGACCAAACCACATAGCATCATGACCAAACCACATGACCAAACCACATAACGTCATGGCGATTGTACATAATAGAGTGTTTGAACCGAAGATACTAACGCCGCGGCGTTCCATAGAATACGGCCTTATGGCTTCGCCTTGTTGATGTAATCGCATCGTAGCTAAAATGAGGCGCGACCGAAACGAAGCGCGACCGAAGTGATCGGCTACCGCTCTAGCAGATGTTGGTTGGAAATTCGAGTTGTAATTTGGCAAATCACGTGTTCCAAAATTAAATTTTCAAACACTTATTAGTTTAGTTTGATAAAAGGCTCCCAATGGATAGTGGGAATAAGCCTGGAAGTTTTTCAAGGAAAGGTACGGTACTCAAGACGTGCATATTAATTATTGCTCCAGTCAGTGGAGTCGTCGCTGGCTGAGGTACTTTTTAGGCTAGCTAGGGACCTAGCCTACTACAGGCCTAGATCCTTGGGTGTTGGCCTAGGCCTAAGCAGACCTGCCAACCCTTGAGTCATAAAAATCTGGAGATTTTTTTAAGAATCTTAAAAAATCTGGAGATTTACCAAAAAATCTGGAGGTTTCCAGATTAACCAAAAGATGATGCAAGATACCAAAAAAGTCACGTCACTACAAGTTAAGTTATTGGCTGTGGTGACATTGGAATTAAAAATGGCTGCTTGTTTATTGCACCGCAAAGCGAGCAGGCGGCAAATACATTGAATAATAACGATCAAATCAATCAAATTATGCATAAATCCGAGTATATTTGGGGAGGGGGATGGCCTGTGAAATCGGGTGAAAATTACATTCGATCGGGAGAACTGGACCAGGAGATTTGTTTAAATATCGGGTGACACCCAACAGGATCGGGTATGTTGGCAGGCCGGCCTAAGTCCAGAATATTATTCATGGCAAATGCTATCGCAGCATGACAATTTTTAAAAACGAATCTCCCCATTCGATATGGCTGTTTACATTTATTTAGTACCCACTATATGTCACATGATCAGTAATAGCTGGAGGCACCGATTTGGTCTATTTTATTATTAGATCTAGGTCTAGCCATGGAGGTATTATTGAGAAGAAGGAGATCACTCGGCAACAGATCTCTTTGCCGTGACAAACCAATTTGTTCCCTCGCCTTTGGATCGCGGGCGGGCGTATTGTCCTATAATTCACATTTTTTTCGTTAGCAACAACTTGGCAATGACATTGACATGCATTTATACGCTCCAGCACAGCAGTTTTCCGATAAAGCATTTGATTTTAACCCATTAAATATCTTTATAATAAACAATGTTCCCCTGATTGGATTTTTTCGGACTTTTTTTTTTCAGAAACAGATTCCGCAAAATATTTCTGTTAAAATTACTTCTGTGTTTATTATAATTTTGTCTAAAGATCGATTCGTTTGACTATAAAGGTCACTCATTCTCTAAGAACCAAGAGATGTCCTAAATGGTTCGACGAAAACATAAGATCAGCTAGAAGAGAGCGTCGACAGTGTGAGTGTAAATGGCATAAATCTCCTAGTGATCCTGACCGCATCAAATATCTCGAAAAACATAAGGTTGTAACTGAATTAATTGTACAATCGAAAACGGATTATTTTAAAAATGTGTTGCTTAATACCGATACAAAGTCTATGTACCGTAATCTTAAGCTGCTTCTAAATAGCTCAAATGTATCTTTGCCGAGTAGCATTACTGTTGCAAAGCTTAGTAACAATTTTGCTTCATATTTTAATGATAAAGTTTCAAAAATTAGATTAGAGCTTGATAAGGTTTCTAATCCTGTTAACATGGTCAATAGTGTAGGTGAGGTCCCTCCTTATGATGACATAAATTTTGTTCAACCACTTATCAATGAGGAAGATGATAATTAATAATAATCATATGTTTGTTACATTCTCTCCAGTAAATGAAACCGAAATTAGCCAAATTATCTCTAAAATTCCTAATAGAACTTGTTTACTGGACCCCATTCCCACGTGGCTTTTGAAGAAATGTTCTGAAATTTTTACCCCTGTAATTGTTTCTCTTGTTAATAATTCCTTTTCTATTGGGTGTTTCCCGAATATTCTTCGTGAAGCCGTGATTTTTTCTCATATCAAAAAACCTAATCTCAATAAAGACGTACGTGTTAAGCAATTACCGTCCCGTGTCAAATCTTCCCACCCTTGGTAAGATTCTTGAATACCCTGCAATCTCGAGATTTAATTGTTATTTTCAGTCAGAAGGCATTTCTGATAAATTTCAATCCGCCTATAAGTCGGCCCATAGTACAGAAACTGCCCTTCCTCGGGTTAAAAATGATATTGTTAAGGAAGTAAGCCTTGGTAGGAAAGTTATGCTTGTTTTAATTGATTTGTCTGCAGCCTTCGATACCATTGACCACGAAATTCTCATAAATAGGTTACAAAATGAATATGGTATCGGAGGCTGCGTGCTAGATTGGTTTAATTTGTACCTGAGGGATCATAATACTAGAGTGTGTATTTCTGGTAACTTCTCTAAAGTCTATCCGCTTCAATTTGGCGTCCCCCAGGGATCAGTCGCTGGTCCATCGATCTTTACTGCATACTCAAAGCCAGTCAGTGATATTATCAAGCGTTGTAATGTTTCCTATCACATATATGCTGATGATATCCAGCTATATGTTAGTTATGATCCTAAGGTGCACAACGTCGATTAACAAAGTGTATTGATGAGGTAAAAATCTGGATGCTTGAAAAAAAACTGAATTCTTTCTTATTTCATCCCAAAGGAAAATCAATTCTATTAAAAAATTTTAATTAAAGATTGGTGAATTCTCAATTGCCCCCTCGTCATCAATTAGGAACCTTGGGGTTGTTTTTGATCCCTGTCTTAAAATGGACTTACAGGTTTCGTCTTTATGTCGGTCGGTTAATTTTCATTTACAAAATATCTCACATATTAGACGTTTCATTGACCAAAATACCTGTGCACATGCAGTACGATTACTGATTCTTTCTAGGTTGGATTACGGAAACTCCTTACTTGGTGGAATTTCACGTTCTAATATACAGCGCCTCCAAAATCGTGCTGCTCGATTAATTTACGGTGTGGATAGACACACTAGTACTTCGCCATTGCTGCGAGAACTGCATTGGTTACCGGTCCAACAGAGAATACATTTCAACATTTTACTACATGTGTACAATACTTTCAATAATATTGCCCCAACATATCTTCAAGATATTATCAGTAAATATGAACCAGGTCGTATCGGTCTTAGATCATCTAAAGATAATTTGCGCCTGACAGTACCTATCTCCAAGACCTCATTTGGTGATAGTGCGTTCTGTTATTGGACCAAGGCTATGGAATAGCACTCCTTATGAGATCCACCAGGCTCCCAGTGTTAAAATCTTTAAAAAAACAACTTAAAATGTATCTGTTTCCTAGTAAGTAGTTTTTGTATCTTTTAACGGTAGTTTTAAGATTTCTGTATATATATAAATATATATTTTGAACTTTGATATGTACAGCACTTTGATCCTTTTGCCGAAAAAGCGCTTTATAAATGCAAATATAATAATAATAATAATAATAATAAAGCTAAGGCAGTGTAAAACTGAAAATTATTCTAATTCTGGATTGAATTTTTGAATAGTTAACCCTGGTTAACCCTAAAAAGACTTAGTTTATTATAATCTTCCATCATTCCTAATAATATCTGTTAAAATTGGAATTATCTAATTTTATCCAATTTATGGAAATTCAAGTTGCAATATACCATACATTTAAAGCTAATGTAAATGTTTTATTAAATTCGAAACTCTTTTTTTTTTTTGAAAATATTATTATGTTTGGTATTTTTTGAAAAATCAATGTATTAGCTTCAAGATGGAAACGATTTGCACAGCCATAGTGATTGACTGTAAGTAGTGCACATTGAGAAAAGAACGTGCTCTCCATTTCGCTGTGGTCAAATGCTGAGCATTTGGTGCACATGCATCCCTACACGCTAAACGTCACAAAAACCACATGCAACCAGACCATAAACCGTCAGCGTACATAACGAATTACCTACGCGCATGTTAGTTGCCATGATAATCGCGCGTCGTGCAGTGATTACAAAGGCCTAATGATATTTTGCACTAACATTAGACTGAAATTATATTCTTCATTTCAACATTAATTTTACCGATATTGTGGTGTATTGTCGTTCATAAGACTCACTTCGCAGAAAAAAATTAATAAATGTTCTGTATCTACTCAAATGTTCGTTTTGTGCACCTTAGTCCAACATTGTCAAAATGACAGTTTAATGTTACATAAGAACGTGAAATTTTATAAAATTCATAAATTTTCAATTGCTATAACTTATCATTTTCTTGGTCAGTTTTCACAAATCAAATTGCAGTTTATAGAAGCATTTAACAAGCTCGCGGTCAAAAGAAATCAGATGTAACAGACATTGCGTAGTACCCAAAATTAATAAAATAGTAACTAACACCATAAAACGTATAGTACGCATAGACTAATAATTGATGGCTGTACTCGCAACTAGTATCGGATTGTCGATGCCAAAGTAAAGATCAAAGGACTGTACGCACGCGCTATATGTTCGAGAGCGGAAATGTGCGTCCTTCTGTTGAATTACCTAGGTCTACCCTATAATACTGTAACTATGTATCAATGGCGTACCTAGGGGGTTTGAAGTTGAGCGCAGGAGGGGCTGATGGGGCTCTAGTTGGCAAAATAAGCTAAAAATAAATATACATGCAGAGCTCATAGTCCAGGTGGTGGAACAAGTCTTCACGGATAAGAACTATCACCATAGGCTCAGTGTACGCAAATGAGGCATGTTGTGGCAAAATGGCTAAGTTGTAGCAAAAATTGAAATTCAAGTTATTGGTATTTTCAGATACCTGAGTATGTGTTCTTTAAAATGAGGGGTCATTCATTGAAATTGGACATTTCAAGCCTAAGTTATTGGAAAGTTAAAGTACAGTACAGTACTCTTAGAATCAAGATAAACATAATTTTGAGTAATTTCCTTTCAAAGTTATTTGTGCATACGTTGTTTAATAGAATGAACTATCAAAATAACATTAAATAAACAATTTGTT